AAATTCTCTACAAAATGGCCAAAAAAAATTGGGGGTCGGGGGGAGGTAAGCCCCCCCTTAAAACGATCGTGGCAAAGATATTTATTATTTACTACCTATTTTCTCTCATATTAACCACAAATATTACGATTTATTTATTACTGGTCTTGGAGAAATTAATTAATTTTTTTATTTTGCAGAAAAGATCTCGGAATAATGAATAGTCTAGAAGGAAAACATGTGCATAAAGCACAGTATTATGAAGTCATAACATTTTCAACTACATTCTAACTATAAACTTAAAAATGTTACGTCGTTCGTGGAATGAAGATGAACATGTTCGTGTTTATCGAAAGGAAGCATTTAATATCGGCACATCGATTACATATAAATGTTCAAAATTCAAAAAGTATCCATTGTGTCAGTTTCAACTGAAAGCAAAAGAAAGTTCAGATAGGTATCAAGTCGATTAGTCGGAAGTACATAATCGTCGTACACCCGTTCAGACAAGTCGTCTTCCATGCAATAAATTTCGCACTGAAGAATCAATCGTTTTGCCAAAGACTGCACTGTTTGAAAGGTATAATTTTCGCGGGTGTGAGAGCTTTTGCTATTAATTAATTAATTATTCCGAGATCGTTTCTACATAAATAGATAAATTTATTTTTGCAAGATCTTTTCTCCAGAATAAAAAATTAAATTAAATTCTCCGAGATCTTTTATGCAGAAATGCTTAACTGACATTTTTCCGAGATCGTTTTTGTCTTTATTTCCTTCCCAGATCCATTCTGCTAATTTTCCGAGATCTTTTATTTTCACGTCCTTTTTTATCAACTTCCTTATACGTTTTAAAATCAAGAATACAATTCTTTCTTTCTTTATATATGTTCTGCAATTATCGCGAATATGTAAATGAGAGATCAGGTATTTATTATATGATAAAATGTTTATTTCCTCTTAGTCAGTTATGATCATTCTGTAGTAATCTTATCTTTACTTAGTAATAAACCAACACATATTTTCATCTTTTCTTCTACGCGCGGGATGAATAAGTTTTGCATAGAGCACATGACGGATAATCATTCTTATCTCGTAAACTGGTGAACGTTATCACATTGTCAATATTTACAGCGATAGAATTAATGAGATTTCTAGTATAATTGAAGCTATACTTGTTTTTCGTTTTCTCTATGTCTTCGATCTCTCTTTACCCCTTTCTCATAAGTAATACTTGACGGCTTGTTCACGTAACGCGCTACTTCGTTGCGGAAGTTTTTTTGTCGAAAATCTGGGAATCCATTTGTACCAGGCTGTAGAGCGGTTCTCGGGAAAATCTAAATGAGCCATTTTGTTCAGAATTCGATGCTGATTCCAACCATGTATAAATATCATGGAAAAAACCTGGCCGGAAAAATCTACATTCCGAAAGCAGTATTTCGGGTGGATTACAGTGATAACCGCTTTTTTTGTATAACTCCTCCAAAACTAGTCGAAACCGAAAAATTCCAGAAAGGTCTAGAGATATGTTCGAGAACATGCTTTGGTAAAAATTTGGCGTCTCTAGGACGTTTTACGGCGATGTAAATGAGTTTTTAAGAGTACCGCAGTTACAACCTTAAAATTGCGTTACAGTGTAACGCGTGAACAAGCCGTTGATGTAACTGTTTCCGGTTGTTTTTAGGACACGTACGCATCGACGAGGAGAAAAGAGAAAATCTGTTTGATAGTATCGCAGTATATCTTGCTATTAAGAGACAGTCCGTCAGAGAACCGACTAGAAAACGGAATAGTGTCTGAACACAAAATTTTTTGTGCTTGTGCCACATTCAACATTTTTTTCTTTAACAATGGTAGCTGGAAAGACAGTTCCATGCAATTTCCATGCATTTTGTTCTGTTCTGAAAGAAAGAAAAAAATGTTGAATGTGGCACAAGCACATTGTATAATTGAGTTCTACTGTTGGAGAAAAGAACTGTGAAGCTTTTTTGCGTTATCTACTTCCGAAATTCTTTGACTTTTCAAATAAATCAAGCCAGTTTTAAAAGAAATATTGATATGGACCTGATTTTTCCGTCCGTAAAACAAGCTCTGTTTTTAATTCATTTTCATCTACAACAGTATCAGATTTTCTTTTGTTTGAGAGAGAGTTTTGTGAAATAGTATTGCACGTGTTTATTTTTTGTTGGAGGAGTTGCATTTTAAATCCCAAAAGAGACTGCTTTCACAAGATTTTTTCAGTTATTTCTAAAAAAGAGTCTCAATCTTCACTTTTGAATCCTGATTATTTTACGTTCAATACGCAACTACCACTCTCTCCATTGTGAGACATAAAAAAAACATTGCACTAGCCGGGAATCGAACCCGAGTCGCAAGAATGGGAATCTTGCATGATACCACTACACCACTAGTGCGCTGTCTTGTTTCCACTGCAGAAATGTGCGAGTATTATTAGCTGTCATCACAACAATAAAGCCTTATGAGGCATTTCTCACACAATCATCGGGTAGATTAATCGAATCCGCCCGGAGGCAAGCCTCGCGACGGTTGGCCTCCGGAGACCAGTCTCCTCCAAGCTAAGAGGAGCCACTTAGAAAAATCTCTAAGTAAACTTTCAGCGGGAAACGATTATTTACATGAATACGTAGTTGCACATATTCCGCTTTTTCAAATTATACACTAGTTATGATGACTCACCCATGAGTCATCGATTTTTTTACACTGTTAAATCCAACAATTTTTTTGCGAGTATTGTATTGAAAAAGCACACGCAAAAAAGAGATTCTGCGATAAAGGGCAAAAGACTATAGTTCTTTTGTTTATTTTTGCATAAAAGAATTTAGCGCAAAAAAACGCATTTAGTAGCTACATTGGTGTGACCCAAAAAGTGCCGGATAACGCATATTTCTGCAAAAATTATGAAAAAAAATCGACATGAGTAGTGATTTCTGATGATCATCAAGAAATTAAGTGCACATAATTCGAGAACGAAGCTATATAAAGACGAGGTATTATGAATCTCTTGATTTTTCTATATGCTCTTTCCAACTAGACCGGTATGAACGAAAAAAATTTTGTGTTCAGACACTATTCCGTTTTCTAGTCGGTTCTCTGACGGACTGTCTCTTAATAGCAAGATATACTGCGATACTATCAAACAGATTTTCTCTTTTCTCCTCGTCGATGCGTACGTGTCCTAAAAACAACCGGAAACAGTTACATCAAGTATTACTTATGAGAAAGGGGTAAAGAGAGATCGAAGACATAGAGAAAACGAAAAACAAGTATAGCTTCAATTATACTAGAAATCTCATTAATTCTATCGCTGTAAATATTGACAATGTGATAACGTTCACCAGTTTACGAGATAAGAATGATTATCCGTCATGTGCTCTATGCAAAACTTATTCATCCCGCGCGTAGAAGAAAAGATGAAAATATGTGTTGGTTTATTACTAAGTAAAGATAAGATTACTACAGAATGATCATAACTGACTAAGAGGAAATAAACATTTTATCATATAATAAATACCTGATCTCTCATTTACATATTCGCGATAATTGCAGAACATATATAAAGAAAGAAAGAATTGTATTCTTGATTTTAAAACGTATAAGGAAGTTGATAAAAAATGCAAAATAAGTCACTGTTAACATATTTGGCATGTGCTATATTATTAGCCGCATGCGCATTCTTTATTGCAAGTAACGCAAGTCCTACATGGGGAACACTAACAATAAATGCTGTTAAAACCAGTTCTGGATTATGGCAATCATGTATGGGTGGTCGTTGCGATGCTATACCGAATTCATGTTCAAAGTTAGTAGGGATGGCAAAAAGTTCATGTGATAAAGTATTGGCAACACGAGCATTTATAACAATGGCGTGCATTACATCAGCAATTGGTTTTATTTGTTTATTAGCTCTAGCTGCTTTTATTAAGAATTCACAAACCTTATGTTACGTTTGTGTAGCTTTAGCTGTATTATCATTTATATTTGGTTTAATTGGTTTTAGTCTGGGTGTAGACAGATATGTAACGAAACCGTTCAAAATAGGTGCTGCTGCCATATGTGGATTAATTGGTTGGATTTTAAGTTTAGCAAGTGCAGTATGTTCAATTCTTATCATAAAAAGTACACAACCAGCATAAAACAATGTACTAATACTGAACACAACTACACAAAAATCCCAACAAAAGACATTACGAGAAGGGGTAACTGACTAATGCTATAGCCGCCCAATCAGCTGCCACGAATTTGGATTTTTTTGAATTTTTTTGAAAATTTTATACAGGATAGATCATTATGCTACTATTTGTAGCTTTTTATGTCTTCAGCCTGCTTAATTGTTGGAAAAAGCGAAACTAAAATGTTTTAGTACTTATGAAATAAAAAACTTTCTGTTCGTTACTTTCATTTCGTGTATAAGAACATTCGTCCACCTTCTGCTTACAAGGACACCTTTTCCGTTTTTTGTACATGGTTCGATAGAGCACCTCAAACTGAGTAAGAAAAAACTCCTTTTTCGATTTAGGAAATGATTTTTTGAGGTCGAATAATACGAAAAACTTGGTGGATTTGACTTTTCGAAAAACGCATCATTTTCAAAATATGCAAAATTTTTCATTTTATTCTTCTTTTTAAGTTTTGAAAGTTGTTTTTTCGGGTTCATCATATCACCAGTTATACGAGCGTGCATCGCTTTTTTTACTTTATTGAGAAAGAGCATTTTTACGGATCAGGATTTATTTCTACACGGAAAAAAGAAGTAATCTGCCGTATTTTTAGCAAATTTTATCTTGTAAAATTCATCCTTATATGCACTTGATGATAAAACGTATAAAATAAATCCTAATATTTGTGGTTAATATGAGAGAAAATAGGTAGTAAATAATAAATATCTTTGCCACGATCGTTTTAAGGGGGGGCTTACCTCCCCCCGACCCCCAATTTTTTTTGGCCATTTTGTAGAGAATTTAAAACTGCATCTACCCTCCAATTTTTTCTGAGTTCGGCCCGGTTTTGACGGAGATACACCCTTCACAATCCATGTGGCCCACATAGACCCCTAGGGGGGTATTCACTATAGAAAAAATTTTCAAAGTCAGAATTTAAACCTTATTTGTATACGGTTGTATAGAGCATTCAAAGTTGTATATATCCTAAAATTTTCATAAAGATTGGATGCATAGTTTTTGAGAAAATGTTCGTTTACCG